TAGAAATAAAAATCAACTCAAAAAGAAGAATATGAATCAAGAGAAGATAAAATAAATAAATTGATAAGTGATATAGAAGTATTGAATAAAAAAGAAAAACAACAATGAATAAGAATATAAACAAATAACAATAAACATAATAATGTAAAATTTTAACATAACTTCACAGTACATTAATAATTGGTGTTTGTAAGTTAATTCTAATTGTAGTTTCTGTTTATTTTATTATTTTACATAGCCTTTGTTATATATTGATGTGATAATTGAAGAAAAGCAAAAAAAGAACCAAAATATCTGTTATTTTCTTAATTATACTTTATTAATTAGAATTACCTATACAACCACCATCACACGATTATAGTAATAAATACTTATACATAAATACTCATACTAAAATTGATTTTTCAAAGTTATTTTTGACTTTATTTGGTTTTAAAACAATTAGAACCAATTAAACACACAACGCATTTATAACAACCACAAACTAATAGAATGTATATGACTTTTGTTGAATTATGCATATAAAATAAAAGTTTGTTTCACATATGAATTAAGTGAAGATTATATTATTTATCATAACAATCTAATAACAGATTATTTATAATAACATTCTTTATATAATTGAAAATTATCAAAGAATAAGACTTCACAATAATCTCATTTATGATTTATACAATAAAAATGAAACGACTATCATTCAGAACATAGTTTATAATTATGTCATTAATAAAACAAAGAATATAAAAGATAATTTCAATAATCAATTCAATCAAGAAATGAATTTATGAATGTTATTAGCATATTAGAACCAACTTGAAGAAAACAATTCCATCCAATCATTGTAGTTGATTGATTCCAATAAGGTATGATTGATGATGATACAGATGATATGATTTCAATTCCAATTTTATTTTTCTTTGTTTTCTTAATAAATAATGTGTTTAAAGAATTTACCATGTAATGATTCAATATAGATAATAAGGAGTAATTAATTGAGTATTGGAGTGGATTATAAATCCATCTTTGATATTTATTCTTTGTTTGATCATCAAAAATTGCCATAATTATTCCATATGTAGAGTTTTGAAAGAGACATTCAGGAATAATAGAAATAGAAGAAAGAAATGAATTGGTTCCAACCATAATATGATTTGTATTTAAATGGTGATAATGGTTAACAAAAGTAATGATGAATTTATTTGTAGTAATCATTAATTTATTACTATTTTTCAAGTTCTTTTAAAAAAAAAAAGAAAAAATGGTAAATGAAATTATTAAAGAATCTTAAAGATAATATTCTTCTTCAAAATACATTTAATTAGTTTCTACCATTTCTTTCTCAACTGATCGAACACTTTGTGCATATGTAGCTATTTCATTTGTTATTTCTGAAAACTCATTCATTTCAAGTTTTCTATTTACTAATGCCTGACTAAAATATGAAAGTACTTCATTTAAAGTAAGATTAAGAGGAGATACTTTTGAGATATCTTTACATAACGAACAAATAACACGCACTAATACATTGTTTTCTGGTTCAATAATATTATCAGTTACTTCTTTATCTTCAGAAATGAATATTGTTGGAGTAAATATTCCTCCCATTGCCTGAATATAAAGAACAAAAGCTTCTGATAAAACACAAATATTATATTTATCAAGTTCTTCCATTGAATCAACACTATGAAAGACTGATTCATACAATTCAAAACGTTCAATTGTAGGAAGAGTAGTAAATATTTTAGGATCTTCTTTATGTTTATTTAATGCATTAATAAATAATACTATTTCTTTAGGTAATAATGTTTTTTTAATTGATGTAGTCGAAGATGAAATAATAAATGGGTCTGGGTGTTGAAGAAGTTGTTTAGGAGATAAACCAAAAGAAGTTTGTGAAATTTTAAAGATAATTTCAACAAAAAATACACCACCATCTTGAATCATTATTTGCATTATAAAATCATTTCCTATTTTTCTTATTAAATGAATATTTTCTGCAGTCATAGTAATTGATATTGAAATATTTATTTTTTGTTTAATAGGAATATCACCTTTTATAATATTTGTTTCAATAAATATTGGATTAATTTCTTCTCCTTTTTTTGTTGAAATATAAATAATATTAAAAGAAGCTGGAATCCTTCCAGTATTAGTAATTTCAATAGATGAATGAATAGTTTTATATGGAACTATTTCTCCACATTGAATTTTTTTTGTTGATAATTCACATGTTGGTACAAGTGCATTACTAATATAATTTGAAAGTTCAAGAACTTCTTCCCATGAATTTTTTAATAATGAAGTATTAATTTTTCTTGGTTTAATAATTGCTATACATCTAACAGGAAGATGATCTGAATAACATATTTCAAGTCTTTCATATTTATGAATTGATAATTGATATGCTTGATATACTCTAAACATAACTCTATCACACCATGCTGGAAGTCGTTTCCAATCATAATTCTTTGTTCCTTTTTCAAATTTATATGTTGGTAGAAATGTGATTGGTGCTTCAATAAATCCTCCAAATGCACTTGAACGTGCAACTGAGTTAGTAAGTTGATCTGTTGTAATTAATTGAATTGGATCATTTAAATATTTTTTAATTTGTTCTTCAGTTGCATTTAATCTATAATTAAAGTCACCAAGCCAAATTTCATAGTCATGACTCTTTGGTGGTATTGGAAATTGAAATTGATTTCTTGCAGTTGTATAACATTCATCACATTTATCAGGTCCCATATTAGCTGAAAAATGTGCTCCTACAAATAAAACTCTACATACTCCTATTCTACAAGATACTCCAATTGCTCCTTTATTTGCCATTCCTAATGTACCTAATGAAACAGTTGAAACAGAAATATCATTAATTTCATTTTTCATTATTTGTTTAATAAAAATAAACATAGCTAAACCTCCATGTTGTTGTGAAAAAATACATTCATATGTTTTTGGTGGTAAAGAAAGTTCTATTAATGATTGCCATCTTAAACATAATTCAGATTGTCCAAATGTCATAACCCCACTTATTGACATATCTATTTCTTCTAAACAAATAACAAATAAATCTGCATCATTAAATAAATCTTCAAGTTTTACTGTTGATGGATTACTTTCTGCTACATTCCATGTTATTAATGTTGTTTTAATTTGTGTTATTTCTGTATAATTAAACCATCTTTGTTTCATTTTATTGTTAAACCATTGTTCTGGTTGTTCATAAAATTGAACATAATCATTTTCTGTAATCTTTTTAATTTCATCAGGTCTTAATGGATTAACACGTATTGGTAATTCAAACTTCGTTGGATCAACATAACTTGGAAGAGAAAAAGACATAAAATAAATCTTTAAGATTTCAAGTTCTTTTTTGTGATAAAGTTTTGATTTATTTTTTCATTTTTTTGAGATTCATTACAATCTCATCAGATACAAATCTTATACTCATTTATCATTATTTAAGCACGAAAAATATATCTGAAAAGAGGTTATGGATCCTCTTATTAGAAAGAAAGTTGCTTTTATTGGTGATGCTACAGTTGGGAAAACTTCTTTAATATCAAGATTTATGTATGATGAATTTTATGACAATTATAATGTTTGTTCAATTTGAAAATATACTTCTGTAAGATTAATAAAGTAGGTTACTGTTGGAACTGACTTCCATTCTAAAATCATAACTACAAATCAAAAACTACGTCTTAGACTTCAATTACTTGACATTGGTAGTTCAATGAAACATCATTCAATTGTGTCATCATATGTTAGTAATGTTAATGTTTGTGTTTTAGTCTATGATATTACAAATCAAGAAAGCTTTGTTAGTGTACAACAATGGTTTAAAGAATTACAAGATATTACACTAACAAGAACAATTCAATTTTATCTTGTTGGAAATAAAATTGATTTATCTTCACAAGAAAGGTTTCTTTAAAATAGTATTATTTTTTTTATGAAAGAAATAATAATTTAATAGTGTTTCAATTGTACAAGCTAAGTCATTTGCTGATAGTAATAATATGAAATTTATTTGTACAAGTGCATTATCATCTATGAATGTTTCATCATTATTTTCAATGATTTCTGATGGAATAATTGATAATGAATTATTACAACAAGGATTAGATGCAGAAATGTTTGAAGAAGAAAAGAGATGGGGATGTTTAGTATCTTCATGTTCATTTTTCCATTTTTAATTAAATTTTTAAGAAATAAAAAGAACTGTTATTCCATAATTTCATAAGAAGAATAAAAATGATAGCTGACAACTCTGATATTAAATTAAGAGTACTAAAAGAATTTTCAAGTTATAAATGGTCGAGAACATTATATTATTCTGAAATAACAACATGTCCTGAAGTTTCAGCAATTAAAACTTGTGAAATTAAAATAAGACCAACTACTAAAACAAATCCATCACTTTTAAAATATGAATTTATGTGGACATTTAGTAGTGATGATTCTGATTTTATAGAAATTGTATATTCACCAATTGGAAATATAGAAGAAGGTGGACATGACATAACAGTAAATACTCCTTGTTTGTTATTTAATCATTTACAAATTATTCAAATATTAATTGAACTAGTAGAAGAAGGATGGGCAAACATTGTTCCAGGACCTAACATGAATTCTATTGGAGAATGTACATTAGTTATGTATTTAACTACCAAAAGTGATGTATCAAATCCCCCATATGATACAAGAACCCTTCATTTTAAGTTTGATAAACCAAATGTTATTAAAAATGAAAAAACAATAAGTGTTATTATTATGGAAATGAGCTCAACAAAAAAAAGTTATATGAAAACTGGTACTATGATATCATTAGGAAAAGATATTGATGGATCTTCTTCATTTATTGAATAATACATTTCTTCACATAGTTTCTTTTTATATAAGAAGATTGAATCTGAAACATTTCATAAAACAAAAAGAATGAGAAAAAATCTTTTAACTACCTTGAAAAATCAGAACTTAAAAATCAAATTTTATTAATGTCAATGGAATATACTGAAATTAAACAAATTATTTCAGAGAAAGATATATTATATACCATTAAAAGTTGTTTTATTGGAGATTCATCAACAATTGAAGATAGAAAAGTATTGATGTGGAATTGTTTTGTTTGTTTTTTATGAATTAATGAAAAATATAAAATATAATTTACCATTTATAGAATAATAAACAACAAAAAATGCCAGAAGATTTATCACAAAATGTTTGTTTTATTTATATTTTTAGATAGATAAAAGAATAAAAGTATTAAGTATTAAGTTAGCTCTAGTATTAAATATTAAAGGAAAGATTGGAAGAGTTACTCTGGAAAATTATGATAATTTTGTTAATAGAAATAGTAGTTATTTTCCATTTAAAAATGTTACTATTGCTGTTGTAGTGTTTAATTCTCAAGATGACTCATATAAAAATATAAAAAATTGGCATGGAGAAGTATCAAGATATTGTGGATCTTATGATATTCTTCAAACAATCATTGTTGGAATGTTTCCAGATGAAACATATCATCAAAATTTACCAGAAAATATTCAAGTTTTGTTTTAATTTATAAGAATAAAAGAAATAGAATGATTAATTATGTAGATGGCGATATCAAGTATTCCGAATTCAAAGTTTTTTTATTATTACCCAAGTGGTACTGATGAATTTAGGAAAGTCTTTTTCAGTACAGTTGTCAAAATAAGAGAATTATTATTTTCAGATGAAAAGTTAAACGAGATTCAAAGTATGAAACAAAAACGAACAGTCGTTCAAAAAAAAATAATAGCACCACAAGTAACATCAACTATTTCTTCTTCAATGAATAGAAAATTAAAATTAGCTTCTAGAAATGAAGATGAATTGGTTATTTTATTAAAAGCAATTGTTTTAGGAGATGAAAGTGTATCAAATTCATGTCATCGTATTACTCAACATATTCTTGGATTACCAGAAGCTATTGGAGATGATATTTATGAATATGTTTGGATAGTTCTTTTTTATTTGAAAAATAAAGAAAAAGAAAAGAAATAACAAAATAGCCACAACATCTAATTCAAAAAGAAAATATGACAATTAGACTTAGAATGGATGTTTATAATCATAATATTCCTTCTGGGAAATCATATACTCCATATTTTAATACATTGATATCAATTATTGTATTTAGATATGATGATAAAGAATCATTCAAAAATGTAGTGAATTGGTATCAAGAAACACAAAGATATTCTAATTTACAATCAAATCATTATTTTATTGTAGGATGTCAATATAATGATACTGAACAAATTATAAAAGATCAAGACACTGAAAATTTATTGAATTATATTTCTAAACAAAAAGAAATTCAATTCTTTAAAGTTACAGGAAGTAATTGGGATGATTTAACTAATAAATTCTTTTCTTTCGTTGATGATGTTTGTAGAATTGAATTTTCTAAAGAATTCTTGTTTGTTATTCATTATATTTAAATATAAAATGAAGATTAATGATTATAGAGAGCAGTGTGCTAGTTTAACGAAAAACACAAAACATACACTTACTTTAGATAACACACAACATACTAATGATAGAAATAAACAATATCGACCATTTATTTTAGATGAAGAAAATTCAAATATTGAAAGAGATGAAGAGTCAGGATCATTATTAGGAAGAGAGAGAAATGAAGAGCCAATGGAATTTGAATATTCAACTGATTCATGTTGTTGCATTCTTTTTTAAATGAATTTTATTCATCAATTTTTTTCGGGATTTTACTTTAAAAAAAAAAATAAAAGAAAATAATTAAAAAAAAAACTGATTAACATTTTTTAAAGGGGAATGAGCAAACAGTCTACTATCCTTCAATTCTTTAAGGCAACAACACAAATTAATGAAAATAAAAATATAGAAGAAAAGAAGCCGAGACAACAAAAGAAGAAGAAGGTTGAAATTAAAAAAGGAATGGGACTTGAGAGATTTTTTAGAATTACTACTGATATGTCACCAGCTGCAATAGAAAGAAGAGAACGAATTAAACAACAAATGGCAGAACAATTAAAAAAATTAAATGCAGCTAAAGAAGAACAAATAAGAAAAATGAAAGAAAAAAGAGAAATAAAAAAGAAAAAAAGAAAAGAAAATGAAAGAAATTTAGAAGAAGAAGAAGAAAATGAGAGACGATATAGAAATATAACATATAATGAAAATGATTTTGGAATTGAAATATGTAAAAATGTATATTTAGGGTCAGCAGCAGCAGGAGCAAATATTGAATGGTTAGAAGAAGTTGGGATTAATTATATTGTCAATTGTACACCTGATGTTATGTGTTTTTATAATAGTAAAGAAAATCCTGATTTTAATTTAAATGATTTTCCAGGAATTACAGAAAAGGAATATTTAAGAATTGCAATAAATGATGCAGATGATGAAGATATTTCAAAATTCTTTAATCAATCATTTGAATTTATTGAAAAAGCAATTAAACTTAAACAAAAAGTACTTGTTCATTGTTTATTAGGAAGAAGTCGTTCAGCAACAATAGTTACAGCATTTATAATGAAAAAATATAAAATTAAATTAAATGATGTATTAGAATTATTTGAATTAAGAAATTATGAAACAAATATTAATGATGGATTTACGTCTCAATTATTACAATTACAAAGTAAATTATTTAATGAACCAATAAATATGAGAAGAACAAGAAGAATAACTTCACAAAATTCAGAACATTTAGATATAGTGAATAACATAATAAATGAATTAAATTAATTGTGATATATAACTATTTTTTATTTTTATTTATTTTATATTATTAATAACAAAATAAAAGATAGTATAACAATTATTAATGGTTGTACTCCATTTACATCACGATCTGTTTTATCACATTGAACAGGAATTAATGATGATGGTGGATTAATAAACACTTCTTTAGAAACACGAGAAACATCAAAATCTCTAAGTAAAATTCTAGTAGAATTTTTTCTAATAGTAAAAACATTCCACCAAACATATTTTTTGTTATTTGTATCAGCGATCTAAAAGAAAATGAATAAAATGAATAATTTCATTTAAATAAAATAAAACAAACATTATTAATAATATACTTTTGTTGTGTTAATCCATGACTTGTATAAAATGATACTTCAACTATTGGTAATCCTCCATATAAAGGTGCTCCTTTATGTTGATAAATCCATACTTCATATACTCCTTGTGGTAAATCATTTGAAAAACGAAGAATACTGTTTTTATAATCATACGTTATTGTTCTTGTTATATCAGGTACTGATTCACTTGGATAAACTGAACATTCAGGTGTAGTTCTTGAAACAAGGCAACACGCTGTATTCACATTAAAATCATATTGAAATTCATTGGGATTAGAATATGTTAAACGTGCTTCAAGAGTTGTTTCTGTAAGAGAATAAGATGCTTTTGTAATAACAAAATAAAAATATAAAATACTAAAAGTTATCATTTCTTTTAAATTTGATATTTTTTAGTTTCAAATTTTTAAATAAAAATAATTTAATTTTTGAAACTAAAAAATAATTTTTATTTAGTTTTTCTTTGAAAATAATACAATTCTTATACCAAAAAAATAAAAATAAAAAAAAAAAAACAAAAAAAAAAGAAAGAATAATAACAAAAATAATTGTTATAAAAAAAACTTTTTTATCCTTTTGGATATTTGCGAAAAAAAAAAAAATATTTATTATTCCTTCGATTGAGTAACAAACTTTATGCTATTTAAAAAGAAAAGAACTTAACTAACTTCAATATGAAAAACCTTATTAAAAAAACACAAACACCAAGATTAAGAATAAGTAAACAAAGTAAAAGTAGTCATAAATCATCAAGTAAAATGGATTCATCAATATCAATGTCAATATCAGAGAATGATGAATTAGATTTAGAAGATGTTTGGGTAGAAGTTTGTTATAAATAAAAAAGAAAGAATTAATAAAAAACAAAAACAAAAAGTTTATTATTATAGAGTCTGACGTCATTAAGTCCAGAAATAACAAGTGCAGTACTTAATTACATTTTAAGACCAAGTTTAGATGAACAAGAAAAAACAAGAAATACAATGGTTTTACTTTCTTTTTATAATGCATGTAATAAAATTCCAGAACTTATTGATTTTTGTGTTGAAAGAGATTATTATTGGAAATTAGATAATGTTTCAAAATATTCACCATATTCAACTATTCTTTCATCTGTTATTAATGTGTCGTATCAAAATTTTTTTATTGAAATTCATCAACAATTAATGAAACGAGGAGCAAAAATGAAAGGAATAATTGTTTGTTTTTATTTTATTTAATTTTAATAAAGAAATTAAAGAAATAAACATAAAATAATAAAATTAGTTAGATGAAGAAAAGAAGAGTAGTTCTGATAAAGAATTAAAAAAAGTAAAAGAATTTTTAGCAAATTTTATGGAAATATGGATGGATTATAAAGATATTCCATAGTTTGTTATATATAAATATAAAAATATAAAAATATATTTTATTATTTTTGTTCTTTCAAAATAATTAATAAATATATATTAATTATTATAGTTTAGTTATGTGTATTTGGTCAAAAACACAGGACTTTCTTATTTCTAAAGGGGTAGATCAAAGTAAAATAGATATGGTTATGATACAATTATGTTTTCTTTTACCATTTAATTGTTTTGCTTCATTATTTACTACAGATATAGAAAGTACTGAAATTATATTATTTTTTAGTAAATTAATGAATTCTTTATTATCAACAGTTGAAACTCATTCTTATTGGAAAAATTGGATAAAAACAAATTCAAAAGATTTAACAGAGAAAATAGTAAATTATATTAGAAATAAAAAAGGAATGGAAATTGAAAGAGATAAAATAACTATTTCATCAACTTATGAACCAACAGCAGTTATTTATATGCTTAATAATGATTGGCGTCAATTAAAAGATTATTTATCACCAGAAGGATATAAAATGATTGAAATTCATATGACAGAAGAAACTAATTTAAAAAAAAGAGCGTTATTAATTATTAGAGAATTAAATAATTTAAGAGTAAGTACTTTTAATGAAAATCAAATGTATCTTCAAAAAATGTCTGAAATGAAAATGAGAATGAAAGATCTTCAAGAAGAAAGAAGATATTTAAGACAAATTCTTTATCCAGAAGAAAGTGAAACAATATCTATTGAAGAAGATAAAGATTTATCTACTCATTCTTAATTTAAAAAAAAAGAAGTAAAACAATAAAATACAAATTTAAACAAATGAACAAAAAAAAGGAAATATTTTATTACAAATAATTGAATTACATCATTTTTTTATAAAGAAATTATGTAAATTGTTTTATCTTTGTTTTTTTTTTGTTCTAATATATTCTTTTTATTATTCTTTAAGAATATAAATATTTAAATACTTCAAAATCAATAACACCTCCACATTGTTTCATAATATTCCTTACTGTTTCTTGAGTTTCAAAAGGAGTATGAAGAATATTAAAATATCTTTCCATTTCCATTCTATCAATTAAACCACTACCATCAATATCAACTAATTCATATAAAACCATTAACATATGATCTTTTGTAATTTCACCACCTTTTGAAAAATCAAATAAATGATTTAAAGCAAGACAATATTTAACAAATTCAACAAGATTTAATTCATTATCACCGTCTGAATCTAATAATTTTATAACAATTGTAAAAAAATCTCTCATATTTTCAGGAACTGTAAAAATACGTGAAATGTGATACATAATTTCTTGAATATCAATTTTACCATTTTGATTTAAATCTATTTCTTTAAAAACATTTATATATTTTGGACAATATTCCATTATATATCCATCTGGTGATATAAAACATTTTGTAAATAATTGTTCATTACATTTATTAGAATTTATATTTCTTAAACTTGTTTCAATAAATACTTGTTGTTGTGGATCTTTTATTTTTCTACTCCAATTTAATATTTGTTCTGTTGTTATTTCTCCTTTTTTATTTGTTTTAAAACATCTAAAATATAACTTTAATTTTTCAGTTTCAGGAAATGGAATTTGAATATTTGTATAATTCATTTTTTGACATATTTTAATATTTTGTGCTATTTGAATAATTTTAAAAAACTGTTTAAATTCTTTACATGTTATTTTATTGTCATTGTTTGAATCTATTATTAATAATACATTTTCTTCAAATTCTTTAAATTCTTTTTCTTCTATTTCATAATGAACTCCTTTTAATGCTTCTTCAATTGTTATTAATTCATCTTTATCTTTGTCTATTTCTTTAAAAACATTTGTTGGACTTATCATCTTCTTTTTGTTTCTTTTTAAAGTTCTTTTCATTTTTTTTTTTTGATTCTTCATTTATTCTATTTAAATTCCCTTTTTTTGGAGTTATTTAGTTTAATCACTTCTTTCTTTATTTTGATTTTAGTATAGTTCATCATTTTTTACAACAAAAAATTTTTTGAATTTCTTATTTATAAATTCCATCAAAAAATGGTTTTTGTTTGTTCAGTTATTTCTTTGTTGATTTATATTTTTCTTCTTGAATTTATGAGAAGAATAATTTTCTTCTTTGAACTATCTACGTAATGCATTCTTCTTTATATAACCATCTTGTTTATAACTAAGATATAACATAAAGTATGAGAATCAGTGTATTTAATTCTTTCAAAATAATTTGTTAGTTTGTTTTCAAATTTTTGATTATAATACAACCAAAAATGGAGTTTTGGTATTAAAGAAAAAAATAATACATACTATACAATTGATAATACCAATGCTAGAAAGTATTTTATAATTAATGAATTTAACTGAAAAAAAGAAACATTTTAAATTATATAGAAATTTATGATTTATTAAAACATTTAAGTATTATTTGAATTTAATAAATATTCTATTTAAATAATAGATTTTTGTACCACTTTTTTGGTTTTGTTGAAATTAAAAAAAAATATATTTAAAAAGAAGAGATGGTGATGAATTTATGATAGAATGAAACAAACTATTTGTATAAAAAAATATGAAAGAGGAGTGATGAATTTAAACATCGATTAAACTGAAGTAATAACTATTAATGGCAAAGTAATTCTTATGGTATTTAATATAGTTTATTATTCAATTTATCAAAAAAAAATATTCCATATGGAGTTTTTATAAGAGTATAAAGGTCGTTGACAAAAGTGACAAGATAAAGAATCTTCTAATATATTAGAAGAGATATTTAAACTTGAATTAATTAAGTCTCATTCACAAATGAAAAAACAAAGTTATGACTCAACTTTTACCAAAAAAGAAGGAAATAAATTTTATTTTCTTAATCAAACAGAACATTGGAGTGCAGGAGAAAAAGATGATATAGAATATATGACACAACATACCACATATGAAGTTATTAAAAGAAGATGTGAAAAGAATCCAGAAAATGATTTTTTTGGATATAGAAAGAGAGAAGGTAAAAAATATATTGGAGAATATATTTGGTTAAAAAATAAAGAAGTTCTTGAAATGACTGATTCACTTGCAAGTGGAATAATGAATAAATATCATCTTAAAAAAGGAGATTCATGTGGTATTATTAGTGGAAATAGATATGAATGGTATCTCACACAATTTGCTCTTCAAAGACATGGAATTATTCCAGTTCCTTTATATACAACTCTTGGTAAAGAAGCTATTGATTATATTATTTCAACTTTATCTATAACATTAGTATTTTGTACATTTTCTGATACTGTAGCAGAGATGTGTGAAAGAAATCCTAAAATAACACTTGTATGTTTTGATACTTTTGAAGATATTATGAATCATATTAATCCAAGTATCTCTTATGTTACATTTGATAGGTTAATTAAAGAAGGAAAATCTAATTTAATTGAACCTCAATTACCAACAATGGATGATACATTTTCAATAATTTTTACTTCAGGTACATCAGGAATTCCAAAAGGTGCAGTTCATTCATTTAATAGTGCAAGTTATGGTTCTTGTACAATAAATAGTGCAGAATTATTTAAAGATAGTCCAATGAAAGAACAAACATATTTTTCATATTTACCATCAGCACATGTTCTTGATCAAGAAGTAACTCATGGATTTATTTATGGTGGTGGTAGAATTGGTTTTATTTCAGGAGGAATTCCAACATTAATAGAAGATTTAAGTAAATGTCAACCAACATTTTTTATTGCTGTTCCTCGAGTTTTACAAAAGATTTATGATAAATTTAATGAAACATATAATCAACTTGGATATTTTTCACAAACATTGTTTAATATTGGATATTATTATAAATTAAATGCTGTCAAAAATAAAAGTTGGAATTATATTAATTGGGATAATATTGTTTTTTATAAAATTCATCAAGTATTTGGTGGTAAATTAAAATATATTTTAAATGGAGGTGCTCCATTAACTGAAGAATTGTATGAGTGGTTAAGAGTATGTTCTGGTGCTATTATTCTTCAAGGATATGGATTAACTGAAACATTTGGTGGAATATGTTGTTCTCTTCCATATATGACAGATTTAAATATATTAAACGTTGGTTCATGTGGTCCAAATGTAGAAATAAGATTAGTAAGTGTACCAGAGATGAATTATACAATTGATGATGAATATCCATCTGGAGAAATTGAAATACGAAGTAAACAAAATTTTATTTGTTATTATAAAAATGAAGAAGCAACAAAAGCAGCAATAAATGATGATGGATTTTTTGCTACTGGAGATATTGGAAAAGTGTGTCCTGATGGTTCTTTAGCTATTATTGATAGAAAAAAGAATTTGTTTAAATTAGCACAAGGAGAATATATAGCAGTTGAACCATTAGAAAATAAGTATTGTGCTATGCCTCTTATTTCTCAGTGTTTTATTTATGGTGAAAGTTCTGATGTTTTTATTACTGCAATAATTGTATTAGATTTTGATGAACTTAAACGTATAGCTTCGAGTATTACTACAGAATCTGAAAAAGATTCTTTATTAAATATTCATTATTTAAATAAAATTGATATTAAAAAGAAAATCCTTCAAATTATTCAAAATTATATTAAAACACAACATGTCCCTGGATATGAAATTATTAAAAATGTTTATTTTGAAACAGAACATTTTTCAACAGAAAACGATTTAATGACTCCTTCATTTAAATTAAAACGACCTCAACTAAAAAGAAAATATTTAACTATTCTTAAACAACTTAGAACTGAAATACAAAACAATCTTATTTAAATTCAATTAATTTTTTTTATAAAACTTATGTCATTTCCTTTTTATAAAGACTCTTAAGTAATATGTCTATTGTCTTTCTTTCTAATCAACCAATAAATTACTTGATATGAAAAAAAAAACAAATAAAATTCTAATAATATCTAGAATATATGAATTTGTTTATTATTAAATAATCCAAAAAAAATAGTCAAGTGATTGATATTTAATATATTTATAATTAATTCATATACGTTGTATTAGAATCTTTCTTTTATATTACACATAGATACATAATAAAGATTCAAATAATATTACTAAAAAAATACAATATGATAATTATTTATATGAAAAACTACACTTATATATTTTTTATACTAAAGAAATGAAATAAAATAAATAAAATTTGATTAAATAAAATTATTTTTTTTAAAAAAAGAATGAAAGAAAAATAGAAATAGAAGTAATAATAATAAAAAAAAATAAAATTACAATAAAAGAAATATTAAAGAATGATAATAAAAGGTAAATTCAAAGTAATATTTGTACAGAGCAATTATTCATCTTTTAAAATAATTAAGTTTTAATACTTACTCATCATCAGTGATACCAAGTAATTGTTTTAAATATCTTCTTTCTTCTTGAAGATCTTTCATTCTCATTTTCATTTCAGACATTTTTTGAAGATACATTTGATTTTCATTAAAAGAGTTAATTCTTAAATTATCAATTTCATGAACTAATGTCATTATTGTTGATTTCATTATATAATTTGGATCTTTAAAACTAATGATTATTTCAAATGAATATTTAGAAGTATATTCTTTTAATGATTCCCATTCTTCATTTAATGTATAGTCAATTGGAATAATAATAGCATTTTCTGGATTAAATAAAATTCTTTTTTTATCAAAACAAAGCCACTAATTTTATTTAGTCATTTACTTTTGTTTTTTATTAATTAAATAAACTTTACAAACACTTTTCTTATGAACATGAAGTATCA